CCTTGAGCGTTGACGTCGGCACCTCTCTCTAGCAGTAGCTTGACGGTGGCCTCGTGCCCCTCCTCGGCGACATACGACAGCGACGTCCGACCTTTCACGTCTTTCGCGTCGACGTTAGCGCCATTTTCGATAAGTAGCTTGACAACGGCCTCATGCCCCTCTTCAGCGGCCCACAATAAGGGCGTCCGACCATCTTGACTGTCTTTCGCCTCGATCTTTGGACCCTTTTCGAGAAGTAGCTTTACAACCACATGATGGCCATAGTACGATGCTATCATGAGATCCGTAAAATCCGCAGTAGTTGCCATACCAGTAGTTTGCCAATAAATTCTAAACCATGCCGAGTAGCTCTTTGAATCCGGATCACAAATTTTTAGGGCGAAAGGTATAATGGCGGCGCCATCGGCGACGCGAGCCTCGCGGAAGTGAGTGCCCCAAGTTTGGGCCGAATATTTTAAAAAGGTATATCTATCGAAAGAGTGGCCGGCTTCCCCATTCGCATCTGTCGGTAGACTAACATTGGAGTTGAAGTAATTCAGATAGAGCACGCAAAGCTCCGCCAGAACGGCGTGTGCCTCCTGGATCATGATGGAGTGATGCCAGTGCAGCGCTGACGAAACAGCTGTGGGCAATGCCAAATCTGCGAGGAGAAACTCGCGAGCTGTTTGGTGAATGAAATAAATATTGCCTTGATGGATTGAGACGAATAATCCACACCAAGATCTGAGACGCGTCTTGAAGTCCTCGTCATCCTCCAAGTCGAGGTCGTGGATGGACTGCGATGTGTAGTCAATATTCACGGCAACGTTCATTTCCGAGAGGGTTAGTGGCCGACTCGCTGCCAAGATAATACTCAAGGCTTTCCGAACCATCGGATCTTCGTTAGTCTTATTAAGAATTTGCTCATACGCCTCATTGATACTCCTCGGAAGTGTTGCAACAGCGGACTCGACCCCCTTTAGTGTCTTTTTAAAGTCGTCTTTCTCCAAGTAGTCAAACACAAGGTATACCCAGAGATACGTGCGGTGGGTAGTCTCCTGTAGTCTTTTCTCTAGGTAGCTCTTGATTTGGGGTAAGAGGCGCTTCTTCATCGACAGCTGATTAATCCGGTGCGTAATAACGCGATTCACCTCCTGACTGATGGTTCCTGACTCTTCCTCTCCTGGTATATGGATATTTGGAAAAGCGTCCAGTAGGACGCGGAATTTGGACACAATTTGGTCATACGGGCGGCATGTTAGAAGATACTTCAACTTGCCGTAGCCCAACTGGTCGCTGCGGAATTGGCTCTCAATATTCCGCATCAGGTCCGTAAACTCCGATTCAGCACATTCATCCAGGGCATCAAGGACCATAATTGCAGGTCCTGCCCGGGGATCGTTTATAGCGTTGCGTAGAATCTTCCAGAGCGATTCTGTAGAGTTGATCAAACCTTGACCGTCCTCACGGAATTGTGGCATGGCATGTTCAATCAGGGACGGCTTCAGAGAGAAGAGCTGGTGAAGCAGGGCGCAAAGCGCTTGCCGGACGG